ACCGCTACAGGCAGCTTCGATCCCGTGACTTGAAGGAAGAGAATCAGGCCGTCACCGTCACATCAGGCAACTCTAGCTATAAGGTACGTCTCATCTCCTATACAAACCAACTCGGCAATAGATGGAACATTTCTGATGGCATGAACATTGCTGCATGAGCTGTAAATAGAGCTTAAATGATAATTATTACAACATTTGTCACAGATTGTGTTGGATGTACAAGACTTCATGGGCGGAGACGTGAAGGTGAAGGTGGTGGACGAGAGGGAGTTGTTGGTGGAAGGACGTGTGGAAAAGAAGGAAGAGGGAAGCTTATCCCTGTCTTCCTATTCCTTCCGACGCCGTTTCACTCTGCCACAACACACTGACATGACAGCCATCACTTCTGTCATGTCCTCAGACGGTATCCTTACGATCACTGCTCCTGCAAAGGTGAGATTTTTGTTCAGTGTTTGGCCCTATGATCGAATAATTAAGTCACAATAAAAATGAGTAAAGAAATAATGTATGATTAAAAAAGAGATAAAGTTTATATGATTATTTTTGTGTTTACATTTAACAGAATGGTAAGGTTCAGCAGACCAAAACCATCCCAGTCACAGTCGAAGGAAAGCGGGCAGTTTCACAGGAAAAAACATCCTCCTCTTCCACGAAGACAAGTGTCACCAATGAATCTATCAAGGAAAAGAAAGAAGAATGTGAGTGCCTTCATTGTTCTGAGAGACAGACAAGCGAAGAGAAAACTTCTCAGAAGCAAAATGAGAAGAAGATTCCAATCAAAATGATCGGATCTGTGACAAATGAATCTGAAAAGGTTCGAAGCTCCTCTGCAGACACCTATGTAAATTCTCATGAGAACATCAGTCAGAATCAAGTGCAGGAGGAAAAGCAAAGGAAGGCTGAAACCATCGTTTGTAAGGAATCAAGCGTTGGAACGTCTACTCAGCTTAATAGTGGAAGGCAATTTGGTGAGAAGAGGGAATGCGAGTCTGAGGAGAAATCGTCCCTTATGGAAACTGCAACTTGCCATGAATCTGGAAGCAAGTTCGTCCCTATTAGAAGAAGAGGACTTTTCTTTAGCGATTCTGTTTTTCAAGACACCAGGAATGACTTCCACAAGGCAATTAAGGAAGTGCTAAGGAACTGGGGAGAGGAATCGTCTATCTTCGATGATCTCACTTGCTACAGAAATCTTCGGTCTCGAGATCTTAGAGAGGAGAATCAGGCTGTCACATCACTGGAGGACGAATCTTACCATAAGGTAAGCATAATACAGTTTGTGTTTGTCCATTAAGATGCTCTGTATAATTTATTACATGGTGTCTCTGCTATTGTGAAAGTCTAATCTCTATGTTATTTTCCAGTTTGTAATCGATGTTCATGATTTTATGAACGGAGGAGAAATCAGTGTGAAGGCTGTGAACGATCGAGAGTTGGTGGTTGAAGGTCACTTGGAGAAGAAGGGAGACGGTTCCAGGTCCAGCAAGCGGTTCCTTCGACGCTTCGTTGTTCCTGGAGACATTCAGCTGGAGGCTGTTACATCCGTCATGTCCTCTGATGGTGTGCTGACGATTTCGGCTCCGAAAAAAGTAAGCTCTTTTCCTAAACCCTTTTAGTTATCAATGTTGAAATATGTCTTCGAGTTTCAGTTGCGATGAAGGTTATCTTTCAATAAAGCCTTAAACCTTTCAGAAGCCAACGATTGCAATCAAAGAAATCAAAGTTCCAGTGAGCATCAAGGAAAAGGGAAGCAAGAGCCATACAGAGATCCAAGACAAAATTATCAACTCGGAAGGAAGCAGCCATGAGGCTTCATCAGCATTCAGTATCAGGTCTGAAAATCAGTCAAAATGTGAAGCTCATAGTGTACAGGAAGCCACCACCAAAGCATCGTCACGGTCCTCATCCAGCAATACTACTTCATTTACGTCCAATGTGAGTATAAATAAAAGTAAGATGAATAATAGTTGTCCAGAATAATGTACCAGCAGCTTGGGCTTGAGCAGTTGCATATGTATAAATAAACAAATGATCTCTTTCACAGGAAAGTCAAACACGCAAACACATGGTCCCAGTTCATTATGAAGTTGCAGATGAAAGCAACAGCCTCGAGCAACTTGATCACCAGCATCAAGTTACTATGAAGGACAACCAAGTCTGTGATGATGCTCGAAAATCGGAGTGTGAAACCAAAGTGTCTACTGCTTCCCTTACAAGTGAACACAAACGGTCTTCAGAAAGCTCATATTTGCCCATAATCAGGAAGGGTCTGTTTTGTGACGATCATTTCTTCGAGAATGTACGTCAGAACTACAGTCAGGCTGTGAAGGAGGTGTTGGAAAGCGCGAATGAATGGTCTTGTGAAAGGGACGCCTTGCAGGCCTACAGAAATTTACGTCAACGCAATCTGCAAGTAGAAAATCAAGCATTCTCTGTGACTGAGGATGAACACACACACAAGGTAAGAGTTCGCACTAGGAAGTCTTGTTTTTATTTCCAGACAATGGATGTTGCTTTGTTAATGTGTCATTAACTTGTTATCTGACTTATCTTTGTTCCCTCAGGTTGTGATGGACGTACATGACTTTACTAGCGGGGATGTGACGGTGTCACTGGTCGGAGGGAGTGAGCTTGTGATCGAAGGTCAAGCAGAGAAGCAGGAAGGCAGTTGTTCGGCGAGGAAAAGCTTCTGTCGCCGCTTTTTGTTGCCTGAGCTCGTTGATCGAGACGCCATCAGCTCCGCGTTGTCCTCCGACGGAATTCTTAGCGTTATCTCGACTAAGAAAGGCAAATCCGACGAGAAGGCAAGCACCAAGGGCTTTTCGAGCGAGACGAGGACCCGGATGGAGAACCAGACAGACAACGGCCACAGCTGGGAGGAGAGAAATGTGGCGGAGTCTTCGAAAGAGGCGGACGGCTACAGCGTCCGCACGTTCGCCTCCAGTTCCCGCGCTCACCACCATCATTCCTACACGAACCATTTCTAAAGTGCCAGCTTTTCAAATCTTTACTTTTGTACTTTAGTTAAATGTAGATATGATTTATTTTTATTGATTATTCGAAACCAAATCTGATATGTGATATGTGTGGTATTGTGTAAGAATGATGTGGTCTTTACCAGTCGACGAATGGCAAGAGCTATTTAGGTAAGTCTTATAAGATTATTTCACCATACATTAATCTGAACGTTTTTCTTGTTTTGATTAATGAAAAAAGGCTTAACACAAGTCTAACGTATTTTCTCCATTAACAGATGCCAGGAACGATGACGCAACAGTGACAGAAGATACGATTACCTACCAACATTCCCTAAATGTGAATGTGTTTATCAATTTTTAGACAACCTGCAAGCCCTATTTTATTGATAATGTATATAATGTATAATCTAATGAGAAAGAGTGATTTTCACAATGATTTCCAATAAATATACAGAGAATAAACTAATGTATCTGTGATCCTATATAACGAGGCAACTGGGGGATCCATAAAAGAAAGAAACCGCGCATGATGTTTACGAAATAAGATAATAACATTGAAAACAAATGATTCAAAGATAGGAAAAAAAAAAAGACACAAATAACACATTCATATATTTGTTGACAAGAAATATACCGTATGACATTCAAACACAGATATAGACGAGCACACACAAGTATACTAGAAGCGCATGAATGAGGCGACGAGAGAGTGAAATTTACCTTTGTGTGAAATGTGTGTCTGTGTCTTCATCGAGCCGCCCTCCTCCTTCGTGGATGAATGTTAGTACTTTGTGTATGTGCTTCTTACATATATTGTATCAATGGCATGTAAAGGGGACAAAGGAATGGTCCTCCTCTTAGTGCAATAAACTGCGCCCTGCATCTGTATATATATACATATATATACATATATGTATGTGTATATACATATATATACATATAAATATGTATATGCACATATATATATATATATATATATATATATATATATATATATATATATATATATGTATATATGTGTGTGTGTGTGTGTGTGTGTGTGTGTGTGTATGTATGTGTATATACATATATATATACATTTATGAATACATATATATGTACATACATATACATGCATATACATATGCATATGTGTGGATATGTATATATATATCCATGCATATACATATATCTATCTATCTATCTATCTATCTATATATATATATATGCATGTATATGTATATACATATATATGTCTCTACGTTTGTGTGCATATATATGTATTTATATATATATATATATATATATATATATATATATATACATATATATATATATGTATGTATATGTATGTATGTGTATATACATATATATTTGTATATATGTATATATATATATATAAATATGTATGTATGTGTATATATACATATACATATACATATATATATACATATATATATATATATATATATATATATATATATATATATATAGATATATATATGTGTGTGTGTGTGTGTGTGTGTGTGTGTATGTACACATACATATGCAAATACATATATATGCAGACAAACATACGTATATATATGGATATATATACATATATATATCTGTGTGTGTTTGTGTTGCATGCTTGCATATATTCCTACAGACACACACACATACATATATATGTATACACACACACAGATACATATATACATAGATATGAATGCATGTGTATGTACGTTATATATGTGTATAAGCGTGTATACATACATACACACACACAAACACATACACACATACACACACACATTTACATAAATATGTAAATATACATATATGTATACATATACACATATTTATAAATATGCATAATATATAGATAGATATATAGATAGACAGACGGACGCATATATTTGTATATATATATATACATATATACGCACATATATGTACACACACACACATATATATATATGTATATGTCTATATATATATATACACACATATGCATATGGATGTGTATAAATTCATATTTATATTTGCGACCATATTTATAGTTTATCTACTCATCTAAGTATATACAAATATATGTACACACACACACACACAGTATTTATGTATATATATATATGTAATGTATGTACATACACACATGTATATGTATATATATACGTATATATGTGTGTGTGCATGTATGTATATGTACATATATGTATATGTGCGTGTGTACACATACACATATATTTATACTATAATCATACATATGACTATATATATATATATATATATATATATATATATATATATATATATGCATACATAAATACATATATATGTGCATACATAAATACATATATATGTGCATACATAAATACATATATATGTGCATACATAAATACATATATATGTGCATACATAAATACATATATATGTGCATACATAAATACATATATATGTGCATACATAAATACATATATATGTGCATACATAAATACATGCAATGTACATACACTTGAATAAATATGCATGCATATGCCAATGTGTATTTGTGTAGAAGTGATTGAATGTTATACATACACATACACACACACATATGTATATATATATATATATATATATATATATATATATATATATATATATTTATATACATTTGTATATATAAATATGTAAATATACATATATGTATACATATATACATATTTATAAATATGCATAATATATAGATAGATATATAGATAGACACACGGACGCATATATTTGTATATATATACATATATACGCACATATATGTACACACACATATATATATGTATATGTCTATATATATATATATATATATATATATATATATATATATATATATACACACATATGCATATGGATGTGTATAAATTCATATCTATATTTGCGACCATGTTTATAGTTTATCTACTCATCTAAGTATATACAAATATATGCACACACACACACACACACACAGTATTTATGTATATATATATATGCAATGTATGTACATACACACATGTATATGTATATGTATATATATATACGTATATATGTGTGTGTGTGCATGTATGTATATGTACATATATGTATATGTGCGTGTGTACACATACACATATATCTATACTATAAACATACATATGACTATATATATATATGTGCATACATAAATACATATATATGTGCATACATAAATACATATATATGTGTATATATATTCGTATGTATATGCAATGTACATACACTTGAATAAATATGCATGCATATGCCAATGTGTATTTGTGTAGAAGTGATTGAATGTTATTATATTGTGTGTATAAAAAATTAGTTTTATGAACATGTGATCAATTTCTGTTCGCACACTGTTGCATACATACAGAAATTTCAAATGTAAAGGATAATCTGTTATAGATTCAACCTTCGACCATTACAAGGTGACTCACCTCCATGGAATATCGAATTGATTCATCAAGAATTTCAATCAGAATGCTAGAAGTTTGGCAGCAAAATGGGGGTATTTGTGGTGCGTGACGCTGCTCCTACGTCACAGGCTCTCGCTCGCAGCCACGGCCATAAATACAGCGCGTGTGCCACACTCCTTCAGAAAGCAAAGAACAGCCATCCAGCAACCATCTCTCTGTTCAGTGATTCTTGGTGAGAAAATCAAAATAATTGTCCACAATGGCCCCCATTCCACATTCGTGCGACCTGAAGGTTTCAGCGCGTGATGCAAAGCCCTGTGAGCGCGAAGAACCTTCCAAAGGGAGGTGGGACGTGGCCTTGCCCATCAGTCGAAGGGGGAGCTTCTTCCAAGACTCCTTTTTCTCGGATTTGCACGACGAGTTCGACGCCACCGTCAGGAGGGTTCTGGGCAGGTGGAGAGACGCCGACTTGAGTTTGAGAGATCGCTGGGACGACAGTTGTCGGTACAACGATATTTTGAAACGTTACAGACAACTTCGATCTCTCAACCTGAGGGAGGAGGATCAGGCCGTCACCGTCACAACTGACACATCAGCTCATAAGGTGAGCCACGTTTTCTCTGTCATCTATTGTGACATCCAAAAAATGTGTCCAAACTTCATTATTATTTGATGATCGTTATTATTAGTTCACATCCTTCAGCAGACAAAGAGTTGAAGATGTGAACATGAATAAAAAAAAAAAAAATCTCAAACCCAGATTCTGGTGGACGTGCACGACTTCCTAGATGGAGAAGTGAAGGTGAAAGTGGTGGGCGAGAAGGAGGTGGTGGTGGAAGGACGTGTGGAGAGGAGAGAAGGAGGAGGCTCATCCGCACACTCCTTCAGACGCCGCTTTTCCTTGCCTCATTTTACCGACATGTCAGCCATCACGTCTGTCATGTCTTCAGATGGTATCCTTACTATTACTGCTCCGAAACTGGTAAGTATATCATTCTCTACGAATTTCATACGTATTAGAAAAAAGAAACACTAAATTTTCACAGATTAGAAAAATACAAAAAGTCAAAGGGCAGAGGAAATCATATCACACGTATTCTACATTGCCTTCTATTTCAACAGGAGCAACAATCTCACCAAAGGACAACTATCATTCCTATCAAGCTTGAAGAAGTTGAGAACTCGGTGCTTTCCAGAACTACAGATAATAATGACACCAGTTCCGCTGAAAATACCTGCGAAAAATCACGAAAACTTATCTGTGAGACAGTAAAGAATAATAATGAAACTATAAACATTCCAAGTCATGCCAAAGAAGTGCCCACAGTCAACAGTCTTCAGCCTCGGTCTGTGGAAATCCAAATTTCAAAGGAGAGAATTAATGATGATGTTTGTGAAGATAGGAAGCAAGAAAATATTGTTAAAACTACTGAAAGGACACAATCTGACATCGTAGATGAATCAAGCCAAGTCTGTAAGGAACTAGACTCGACAGGACTTGAAAGGTCTTGTCAAGGATTCTGGGACGAACTGCTACCAATCACTCGAAGAGGAAGCTTCTTCCAGGACTCATTCTTCTCCGACATGCACCAAAAGTTTGACGCCGCCATAAAGAAGGTCCTGAACAGGTGGAGCACCAATGACCTCGAGTGGACAGACACTGGGAACGACGTGGGTCTTCGCTACAAAGATATCCTGCAGCGATACAGAGAGCTTCGATCCCGTCACCTGGAACAAAACCTTGCCGTCACCGTCACATCAGACAAAACAGGCCACAAGGTCAGTTGTTCAATATCCCTTCTTAGTGGTGTTGATAAAGATATTTGGACATGTTGGAAAACATATATATATTTTTTGTGGGTAAGAAATGTGATGAATATTTTCCTACCACAGATCGTAATGGATGTGCACGAGTTTACGGACGGAAAGGTGAAGGTGAGAGTGGTCGGCGAGAGAGAGCTGGTGGTGGAAGGAAGCGCAGAGAAAAAGGCGGAAGGAAACTGGTCCATTTCCTCACACTCGTTCAGACGCCGTTTCTCTCTGCCTCGCCAAACTGACATGGCAGCC